TTTAAGGTCAGAACCGGTCTGGACCAGAGGAGGGAAACCCTTTCTGTCCCAAAACGGGTGGACGGGACCGAACGCTGTCCGGCTCGGCCACCACCTCCGTGCCAGGGCTGTGCCAGGGCTGTGCCAGGCGTGTTGGCGCTGACACAGACGGGACAGCCCGGCTGTCACCGCCCCGGGCACGGCGGGAGCGGAGCGCCGGCACCTCGGCTGCCATGGAGGGGCAGGGTGGAAAAACCTGTGCGCTGTTTCTCGCTGGTTTTTCCTCGCTGAAGGCAGTCTGGGAAAGGCCAGGGAAGCAAGGGGAGATTAATGATTTTCCTGGAGCAGGGAGAGGGCTGGGAGGGCAGGGGCTCTCTTAACCAGGGACAGCGCTGACAGGGAACCTGATTCCCACCCTTGACATAACCAGTGCTGGGGCGGGAAGGGGCTTTATAGACTCTCTGCCTCTTCAGCCACTAAAGCAAGGGCTCCAGAGAGAAATTTGGCCCCACCTAAAACCAGTGGCTTACCTCCCACTGATGAGGCAGGGTTTCACCCTGATGAAAAAAAGGCTAGGCTGCTAAATCTAGCACCCAGGAAAAAAAAAATCCCTCTCAAAAGAAGAGCAAATGAAAATGCATGGCTGTATAAAATAGTAAAGTACCCTCAAAGAAATGCTTTCTCAGATCTGTTCTTCTGGAAGTACCCAGTAACCCTGACCCAACAAGCCAAAAGGAAAGGGTTTAGTTAGTCTATAGGAACACTGAAAAAAAAAAAAAAAGTAAAAGCAGAGGGTTTCCCAGTGCAGGGGTTTTCTATTCAAAAGCAACAGAGAATTGTCCCACTTCACAAGGTCAGCTTGGTGAGAAGGGTCCTGCCACCTGCTCAAGTCCAGCTGTCTCAAGCTCTGTGACTCAAAAAAAGAGATATTAAAAATTACAAGGTGTTTGTGACAGGTGGGCCTAAAACTTTCATTTTGCTCAGCAAACCCCCCCAGATGAACTGGCTGTGGGGCTCCCTGGGCTCCCACCCCCTTTGGCTGCTCTGTGCTTCTCCTGGACCAGCCACTGCCCACGGTCAGCTCTGCTTTCTCTCAGTGCTACCAAAGCAAGGGATTAAAGGCTGATGAAAGTCAGCATCTTCTGCCAGGAAATTGGAAATTTCCTTGACAAGGCAGATGTGAAGTCAGTGCCATTGACCATGTGGATGTCACACAGGGCTGTGGAGAAGCTGGTGTGCCAAAGGAAGGACTTTGCCTTCCAGCCCATGCAGAGACACTAAACAACAGGAGTCATCATTCAGTTCCAAATTGGTGCATGTTGACACAACAAAACGAAACAGCTCCTCAGGCTACTCCCCTCACCCCTGAGCCACAGCACGTTCTTCCCCCTGTGTTCATCTGATGACACCAGGCTTTGCTTCCTCTTTGCTCCTTTGCTGCTCTTACTCAGCCAGCTACACACAGCTACTCCCCAAAAAGCTGCTGGGGCTGGGGGAGCAAAAAGGGCCCCCAAAGCACACTTCATCACCAAAGCAGGCTGCACTAAGCTGGCCGCTCCATCCTGCTAGCCAAGGAGTGAGCAGGGATAAAGCCATCCCTGCTGCCCTCCCCTTCCCGGGTGAGAAGCAGAGAGGAGAGAAGAAGAAAGCATATCCTATTTCATGCCCCTGGCATGTGGGAGTAAGAACATTATTTTATAATAATCCTATTAATGCAGATTTGATGATGGCTGGCCATGAGGCACCACTTGGAGAAGCCGCATCAGTGGGCTCTTTGTTGGTGCAGGCAGCTCTGCCCGGGCCAGCTGAAGGCAGCCTTTCTCCAAGCCCTTCACTGCCTGGCTGGTCTTGAGCCCTCTCACTGGGGTCTCCAGATGAACAGCATGAGGTCACAGCAGGGCCACAGGCTCAACATTTGTCTAATACCCACCCCAACATGGACTGGACAACACAAAGGGCAGGGTTGTGCTGTTTTCCAAAATGCTAGACTTGCTTTCCTCTGTGTGACAGCACATCCCCTCTCCCCTCCTTTCATTTAAAGAGTAAAACCTTTGTGGTTTTGACAGTTTTTGGTGTCAGTTTTAAAAATCAACCCCCCTGTTCACAGGTAGCTTTATCTTAGATGGGCTTTTGTTTCACATCAAGAAAGAGAGCAAACAAATTGGCTCCCTCCCTGATGGACACATTATTGGCAGCATGTTTAAGATTTTGAGCTTTTTTTTTGCAGCAGCAATCAGATTTCATTTGGAATGAAAAATATAAACCAGTTGCCTATGTAAACAGAATATGTATACACATAAACAGAGTGAGTGTGTATGTGTGTGATAAAGGTAATAACTTTCTGAGAGCCACACCTGGTGATGTGTCAAGGGCAATACTTTGGTCACCAGAGAATCTTAGCCATGAAGCTCTGTGTGGCACAAAATCTACCAAACAGTAGATGTTGCCTCCTCCATAACCATCAGGGAAAGCTTCCCAGCAGCCCTACACACTGGAAGAATCTCCAAGAGGAGAGCTGGGGAAGGACCTAATTTTAGAGTAAAGAGTCCTGTCTTGAGAACTGTGTGAAAATGGGAGCCCAAGGAAAGGAAGCACCATCTCTGCAGGGCCTGCAGTTGTACCTCACATGCCAGGGCACCCTCGTGGAGGGAGACGGGAGTAGAAATCAGGGGAAGGCTCTGGAGTGTCTTATCGCTCTTCGGGCAGTCACAGCCCTGAAATATAAACGTGTTACAAAGAAGAAATGAAAGAAATCCAAATCTGTGTCAGGAAATGATTTTGCAGGGCTCCCATTGTGTCTGAACTTATCAAGCAAAGCCTTCATTTCCAACCTGATCCAAAAATCACTGAAGCCAAGCACAGCCTGTTCACTGCTTCAGGAGAATTTGGAGCAGCCCTTTCTGAGCCACGGAGGGAACACATTTTGGAAAATACAAGAAACACATTATGTTAATTGTGCAAAAGCATTTTCAGCATCCCTTGGAAATGGCGACATTTGCCTACAAGCTGACAAAGAGTATTTAGTTAATAGTTAAAATTCAAAAGATATTTCATTAAAAATGGAATAATTCATGCAATAGCAGAGCAGTTTTGTCTTTTTGTTTCTCCTCAAGCATTTTGTGCTGCATAGAACACTTTTGAATTCATTTACTTTTGCAAAATTAATTGCCAGGTCAATTTTCAGTGGGAATAGAAGGTGAGAAATTCAAAAGGGAAAGGCAAACCTGGCAGACAGCAGAGGACCTTTCCCACTTAAAGAGTTAAAGTTTAGTTTTGATGCAACAGGTAGCTCAGGAAAAGACACAAATTAATGGCAACGTCCACAAAAGGACTGAGACACTGAAACTGAGATGACACTGAGCCAGAGACTAAAATTATCCCAGAGGTGAATTTCAAGCAGCTCTGAGCATTTTAAAGCATCTCTCCTGCCATGACTCCTGTCTACCAAGGCCGAGAGCGGTGGCTGCTGGGGTCCCAGCCCCAGGACTCACCTTGTGCCACACCTTGGGTGTCAGCTGAAGGACAGGAGGACAGGGCCATGCATCCCAGCAGTAGCAGGAGGTGGCTGTCACGGACCAGCCAGCACAGCTCCAACTCTGCCAGCACTGGTGGCGTGTTGACATGAAAACAGGGTGGGTGAACACGCCCGTCTCAGCTGACCTGCCTGCACCTGCGGCTCGGTGTGCCCTCTGCCTGGGGGGAGCATCTGGCTGCCTTGTCCTGATGCATCCTGGAAATATTCACAGCTGGGTGGGAGCAGAACATTTTTGGTGGTGAGGACAAGCATGTTCACCCCACAGAAACACTGGGAAGGGCTAAGCCCGTGTGGGTTTTTCTGTCAAGGTTTTCCTTAAATGAAGGGAGACCAAATTTGCAGAGCTGTACCCTGGTGTGTGCCATTCATGTGGGAAGCCTGTTATGTCCTTTCATGGGGGTTTCAGCCACATGGCAGGGAAAAGAGAGGAAATTGTTAAATGCTCTCCATCCTATAAGGACTGCTGCCCCCACATGCCTTGCCCTGTGCCTCCCCTAAGATGTCTGCAAATCCACAGCAGGTGGCAGGGAAAAGAGAGGAAATTGTTAAATGCTCTCCATCCTATAAGGACTGCTGCTCCACATGCCTTGCCCCGCGCCTCCCCTAAGATGTCAGCAAATCCACAGCCGGCCCCAGACAGGTCCCTTCCAACATGAGCACCCAAAGCCATGAGTGACCACTGCAGCAGAACACCAGCAACCTGCTCCCTGCAGAGCTCACCTCTCCCAGTGCCTTCCTGCCTGATTTCATGCCTGCTGCTTTCTCTAACAAGGATATCATCACACCAAAGACAGGAGCAAGCACAGCCAACAGCCTGGGGAAGAACAGCAAAGTGTGCTGCTCATCAGACCAGGACAACACCACATGCACTTTACAGTACGGCTTTTCCAGCCAGGATTGCAGAAAAATTCCTGCTCTCCAGCGAGCATCATTTTCTGTCAACCCTCCTGGTCTGCAGACAGAGCAATGCTTGCAGGAAGGCTCAGCTTCTGCTTTGCATGCCTCAAGGAGGAGGCGCAATAGCCACCAGAGAAGAAAGAACAGCTTTTCCAGAATCACTTTGCAGAGGGTGATGGAGGCAGGGAGAGAGCTGTGCTCACAGGGAAAGAACAAAAGCAGACCTAATGCTGCTGTTTTTTGGGATTTCACACAGCTATTCAAAAAAAAAAAAAAAAAAAAAAAAAAAAAAAAAAAAAAAGGCATCACTGTGGAAGTCAAGCCAGTGAACATGCAAAAAAAAACAATTAAAAAAATATATATAGCCAAACTGGGAGACAAAGCCTCTGCTCCAGTCCACTGCTCCTTTCTGGCTCTGTTAAACCATCTTCACAGGACCAAAAAGAGACTCAGAAGCTACCTGGGACCCTCTTGGGAAGGGCTGGCTCTGGAGGCCTTTCCTCCTTCCAGCTGCAGCATATCCTGGGGACAAACCTTCAGGGGCCACCTCCCACTGAAGCTGTTTGGGTCATAGCCCTTCTCTTTCCCCAGCTGGCTGTGGCAGGAAAGCTCAAGGTGTCCTGGCAGCAGGAAGCTCCCTTGCTCCACCCTCTGCCAGGCACAGCGACTCCCTGAGCTTCCGAGGCTTTGCTGCTCCAGACCTGCAGCGACAGCCACCTGCTCCGCGGGGACACTCGAGTGGCAGCGGGACCCTCGGCATGGAGCACTTCTCCCGGGCTGCCCTGGCTGTGCTCTTCCTCACTGCTGCCCTCCGGGATTCCCGCTCTGCAGGTATTGCTCTTCTCTTCTCTCCAGTTTTGGTAGCCTGCCCTTTCCCCCCCGCTCCTCTCAGTGCCTTCGTGTATTGCCCACCGAGGCTAATTTGGTCTTTAAAGGTAAGGGGGCACTCCCTCGCTTCACCTGGAAAGTGTAAGGAGCTGGAATTAATTAATGCTGATGAGAATTAGTAGACATGACTGATCACAGCACACTGTAAAGGGATGTTCTTTTGCCAGTTATTTACAGAGTCGCTGTAAATGTGACTGTGGCAGGTTGCTCCATTGAATGGCAGGGAGACAGGAGCCACTTGGCCTTCTCCTGCTTGCTGAGGCACAGGATCACCTGCCATACCACCCATTAGATCACTGTAGTCTGATTTAACTTCCATTACAAGATTTTTGCAGAAAATGTGGCTTTGGTGCTACCTTAGTTGTACCTGAAACCAAAATGTAAATGAGACCTGTGAGCTGCTCCTTTCTCACCAGGCTACTGCCTGCATTTGTGTATCAGCAGCAGATGAGACCTGCCAGCTCTTTAAAGATGGGCTGGCTTTGACAGCCTGTTCTTTGGGCTGCAAGATCTAAAAACACAAACCAGCACTCGGCATTCTGCAGTACTTCCTTCCACGGTCATACGCAGGTTTTAATGGTTCTTCCCAGTGCTTCTGTGAGGTATTTATTAACAGAGAAAACAAACCATGGGCTTGGCCAAGGTCATTCTGCAAATCCTGCGAGAGTCAGACAGAAGAATGGGGAATACTCAGACCCTTCCCTGAAGCAGACTGCCCAGGGGCCCTCTCAGCATGGCAGAGGCCATAGGGAAAGCTCCGGTACTGCTGATGATGGGTCAGCTCAAAACACAGAGCTAGGCAACAGCAGGTGACCCCAAGGGGAACACTTCCTACAGGACAACCTCAATTTACTTGCTGTTACTTGGAAAACACAAACTTAAAGCAAATCTTTGGTCAAATGTGTCTCATTCTGTTTTATTTTCTTCAGCTCAAACTAAAGCTGAGCTATCATTTTGCAGTCTTTGGTGAAATCAAGATGGTGATGATGGTTTTCTTTATTACATTCCAAATTACCAGCTCAGAGTGATGCCTTGACTGGAAATAGTTCTCTCATAGCTTCTGCCTGATCTGTGGACCAGCAGCACATTAGGGCTTCTCCATACAGCAGGAGTCCTCACTGCTGGAGCCTCCCAAGGCCACTCTTCACTTGTCTGTGCAGGAGACACTCTACCTGGCTGAACTTGAGCTGTGCTGCTCCTGGCAGCACAGAAGAGGTGTTTCTCTGATCCCTTCTGTAGCAGGAGACAGAGAGGTGCTGATGCACAGGGACCAGAGCAGCATGTGTTTTTACCCCTGCAGGCATCCTGCAGCTGTCCTGGTTTGATCCTGCAGGGAGCACGCTGAGGCTGAGGGGCAAGGCAGTGCTAGGAGGGCTAAGGAGGGTTTGGCCTGTGACACCATGAGCAGATTTGAAGAGCTGGACACCAGCTGCAGAGTTGTGTCAGCGTGTGTGTGTGCATGCTGACTCTGGGTGGGAAGCAGGATAAAGAGGCAGAACCCTCATCAAAGCTCCAGGCATCTCATGACTTATTTCTGGATGTTTTCCAACCCGAGTTGGTTACCATGCTGGTAGGAACCAGAGACCAGCCAGAGCAGTTTCAGATGCTCTGACCTGCAGCAAAGCCCAAGCTCCCCACTGGGGCCTTGGTGGACCTGCTGAGGGTCCCCAAAGGTGGGCTCAGCCCTCGGCTCTGCCAGACTCCTGTGCACCCTGGGCTTTTTCTAAGGGCAAAAGGAGGCAGAGGCACAGCCTGCTGGCCATGGATCTCTCCATGCCACTGAATGGTGTCTCCCCTTTCTGTGCTCACTCATTCTGCCCCTGCAGCCTGGGCAAGGACAGTGGTTAATCTGAGCTCCCAGAGAATGGCTCGGCCAAGGTTGCACCAAGGCAGAGGTGCAGTGATTCACCTGCTCCTGAGGGATGCTGCTAGAGCAAGTCTCTGGAACTGGTGTTAAAAGTGGTGGGATAAAGAAGTATATCCCAATGCAGCAATGTTTAGGGTCAGGAATTTACTTTCTTCAAGTTGTTTCCATCCTACAGACCTCTACAAGGCCAATGGCTTTCACATTTTCCTGCTTGATGCCAAACATGGCTTTTCTAATCCAACTTACCTTTTGTTCTGTGCTTTCCTTCTGGCAGCAGCTGAAGACATCTCCAACATTTCAACAACTGAGTACGAACCATCATGTCTTAGTAAGTCTTCATAAATAATTACTACCTGTTAAAGTTAGGTGATGAGTCTACACAGTGACTGAGAGGATGTCCTGGAAAGGGATTTATCTCTTCTCAAGTCTTCCATTGTGGGCCAACCTCTAGGATGCATTTCTAAGACTCCTCCACTGTCATGGCGTGATATCTTAGGTACATTGAGACACTCATAGCTTTGAACAGACTAAATGATAGCTAATTTGTGTCCTAAAGCTCCCTGCCAAACTGCATGTAGGCATTATATGGGTTCCCAAGAATGCCCCTTTCCCCTGCCCTACCAGGTCCTTCTCAAACAGCCAGCCCCAAACAACCTGAGATCCCAGCACTACCCCAAAGTCATCCACCAGGTTAAGAGCCAGGGTTAGAGGAAAGATGCCAAGGCAGAGTGATAGGGCAGAAGTCATCTGCCTTCTCTAGTGAAGGAAACCTGTCAGGTACTTGGCCTGCCATGAGCTCACTTCATTTCTCCTCCACCAGATGTGAGTTTCTGCAGGCAGGCAGCCACGTGCTGCCCCTCGGGCATGGATGACTACGGGTGGATCGCAGCGGCTGTGGGCTGGAGCCTCTGGTTTCTCACCCTCATCCTGCTCTGCATGGACAAGATCATGAAACTCCGGCCTGATGAACCCAAGTACCTGGTGGCCTGAAGCAGAGCAAGCCAGCAAGCAGCAGCACTGGGGAGCAGCGAGGCGCAGACAGACTGACAAAGCATTTCAAACACTTGCCAAGAAACAAAAGAGAAAGGGAAAACACCTTCAGCAAAAAAAAGCCAGATCTAAGCAGGGCAGCTGCTGAGGCTTCACCCTCTCTGGCAGGCTGGAGCAGGCAAGGCTCTGTAAGCCACCCCATACGTGCCACAGTACAAAATCCCCCCTTGTCCCTGAGCCCTCTCGTGCTTGCTGTGAGCACAGCAGCAAGAGGAGAGGCTGAGGGACCAGTTACCAGCCTATAGCACATGGCCTCGAGACAGCCTGCTGCATGACCTTTGGGTTGGACACAGAAAGTGGGCAAATAAAGCTGTTTTCTGGAGCATCAACGTTACCAGAGCCATTACTAAGCTATAGGCCAGGCCACATTAAGTGGAAGTAATTAATTGACTTTACCAAGTCCTTTTCACTCACTAACCTGCAATATTTAAAAGTTTACTAACTGATGCATGGGAAGACTTTCTTATGGAAACTTAGGGATTGTTTGGGCTGGTTTGAAAGTAAAACTAATTTTTCCAGAGCCATTTAGATGTGAACTGTGTTGCAGGAATGGAATATTGGTTGTATTCATTCAGCTTTCACCTTCCTGAGAAACCAAGCCAAGCTGAACTGTGGCAAGCAGGTTTAAACCAGCATATCCAATTCATGCACAAAACTGTTCCTATTTATCTGAGATGATAATAAACACTTATTGATTGAAAGACTCTTGCTGAATGGTTTATATGGATAAAGCTTAGAAATTGTTATAAACAGGATTCTCAGAAGATGTATTCATGCAGGAGGGTTTGCCTCACTGCAGTCAAACTGATTTGGTACAGCTGCACCAGTTTTATTTCTATCTGTGATTAAAACAATAAATCAGCATTAAATCTACCTATACCTACACAAGGTTAGCAAACCTGCTAGAAATCAACTGAAACATAAAAAAATTAGTTTTAAATCTAAAAAACACCACTGGAGATCTTTGTCTGCTAGAAATAATTATACTCTCCCATCAGCTCATCAGTATATAACTTCATGAGTGAGAAATGACAGAAATCAGTTTAAGACTCTTCCTACTGATTCTGATCAGGAAAATTTGGTCACTTCAAGACGGAGGGCAGTTGTCCCTTATCAAATAGCCCCCGTCAAGAGGAACAAATAAGACACTGAGGAAAAGAAAATACATCCTTCCCTATCACTATTATCACTTAAGACAAAAATTCTTTCAGGGTGAAATGCTGAACAGAGATGCTCATATCAGGAAAGTAAGTTTTGAAAGGGAAGAGCTTAATTCTCAACATTTCCATATACAGCAATTAAAACAAAAGTAATTTTCACAGAACAAACCTCAGTGTTGGAGACACACATCTTCCCACAAAACCCCAACCAACCAAGCAAAACAACAAAACCCTCTCATTTATGTACAAACGTACAGAAACAAAGGGCTCTCAGTCATCACCAAAATGTAAAGAGAGTTGACAGTCCAACCATTGCAATCACCCATGTACTACAAATTTGCTACCTACATACATAATTTTTCCTGTTATATTAGTTTTAATAACAGAAAATATTCATTGGTCTGAAAGCAATGTGAAAAATACTGTGAAAAAAATCTCCACTTACTGCCTTCGTGTCTACCTTCTGCAGATCTCCTATGGGCATTTTTCCCTGGGTTGGGAACACAGAAGTGCCTGCTGGATATGGCACTGCTCTTTATCTTTGAGGGGATATATTTCACAGCTTTTGCATGTCTTTGAGTTTTCAGCACGTGATGCAAGCTCTAGACGTCCTACAAGAGCAACAGCCACAAAGAGCTGCACAACTGGGCAACCACGGGGCTTCCTAAAGTCTGCATTTAGAAGCACAGCTTGTTCATGCTTCACTCTCCCCAAAATAGTGCAGATACCTTCAAGGATTGTAGTAGACTTAAACCTCAGGTTTTGCTTCTTGCAATTTCCTTTTGAGGATTCCCAGCTCAACCAAATGGGGGAGAAAAGGAAAAAAAAAACCAAACCCATATTTTGTCACAATGTAGCTCCATCAAGGATTTTGTGTGCCTTTGTTTAGGGGTGATACTCAAGTCTCCACAAAATCAGGTATGAAAATGGAGTACACTTCACAGGTAATTTCTGCTGTGAAAGGTATACTTTTTCTAGATCAGTGGCCTGTAAAACTCTGATCTGATATGACAGGGTTGTTTCTTCCTGCATCACCTACTCTGACATCTGACATTGTCAGGTTTGATCTACAGCTGCTTCTCTTCAAGTCATTTGATCGAGCCACTTAGAAAAACTCAGTCCTGTAATGAATCTCATGAAGGCACTGCTGTTCCCAGTTGTGTCTGGGATCCCTAAACAAGGTGGCAGTGTTCCACAGGCTCCAAGGCTATCAATGTAAGCATCTTATCTGTTTCTACACAATACAGGGCAAACCCCCAAAGTATTATTTTAAAGGGACTCTCTGAAGTACCCATTCTGTGCTGCACTGATCCTAAAGGCAATCACAAGTACAATGCAGAACAACCCACTTTGCTAAAGGAGGAGAAAAGCCCTAATGGTGTTATCAGTGTGCCAGGGGTTTGTCCAGTTACAGAAAGCACTGAATTAAAAATTTGCATCTGAAAGACTTGAGAAATTGATATAAAGACAGAAATTAGTAGGCAGAAATGGATTATACATACCTGATTTCTAAAATGTAAAGATGATCTGTAGTCTGCTGTTACATTTCCTGGAATAATTTTATCCAGAGAACAGCCAGGAGCACTGGTTGTGGGTTATAACCCTCATTTAAGAGCAATTGAGTCACAGTTGAAGGCTGTGGTCTGGCTTTGATGCACAAATTAAACATACAAAAGCACAAATTAAATATACATGACTGTAGAGTACAATCCCTTATAAAAGTGGGCCATGAGCAGAGCTGCAGACTGACGTTCACATTTATTGTGTATTATTTCATGCTCTTAATATCACTCAAAATTTAATAACTCTAATTGTAGATCCCAACTAGTGCAATGCTGTCCAACCCCTGCTGACTTCAAGGGAGCTACACAAACACCCAGCACATGCCTTGGTTTGTTCTTTGGGGTTTTTTCACTGTAATTCAGGAAGCTTGTCATTTTTATTCCCACAGGAAACCTTGGAGGCAAAGCATAACCACTCATTTATCAGCACACATAAATCCTTTTTGTGTTAAACCCAGGTGCCCCATCAGACTGCTACATACAGCCTCATGGCACTAAGCTGGTGTAGGCACTTGCACATCTCCAAACATGTACAAAGTAAGGTGATAGCTCCAGATGATGATGGAAATGTTAATGCTCCAGTCATTCATAGTTACTGTCTGTCCAGGATCAAAAAGTTCCTCACTGAATGAGATGGATTAAAAAAATCCATTCCAGCTTTTATGGCTTAGTACAAAGAAAACCATGAAAATTGTTGAAACCTGGAGGTCTGGAAAAAAAAAGTGTGAATAAAATTCATGAATTTGAACCACAGCACTGCTGACCACATTAGCAGAGTTCTTCCTATTTTCTGCACCAAGTTTCTGAATCTCAGGCATGAAGATAAGTAGGGCCTGGAAAGGGAAGGGACATGCAGATGGCACCTGGGAAAGCTGCTGGTCTGCAAGTGTTTCAGACAGACAAACAGACCACTGGGGACATGCAACTGAACAGCACTTTTAATAACAATGGAGAAAAGCAGCAGCACAGCATTGCAGGTAACTGCTTCAATTTGCCTGGAGATAATATCAATCACATCCAACTAGTGATTTTTAAACAATTCTGAATTCAAGACTAAATGGATTGGTACTTGATGCATGACTCTTCATCTTTTCAGATACCACTGCTTTGGTAATGACTCACATTACTCACTGCCTTGATCCTTGGGGTTTTAGTGAATGAGCTACATATTAAGCAATTGCACTTTACAATGATTACACTTTGCCAAATCACTAGAGGAATGAAAACTGGCAAGCATCCAGGCTCCCTACTCACATGAAATACACAGACAAGAGAGAGGTTAAATTCAGAAGAAAAGGTGCTTTGTGCTGGGACTCTGCAGGAATTTTGATAAAGTCATTACAAAATCTAGGATTTCAAGAACTTATTGTCATTAGTTACTGCCAAGGAATGGAATATAGGCATTCTTGAGAAGCAACCAACCTCTCTTATCCTTACACTCCACATTCTGCTTATTTTGTAGCATCTGTGGTAGCAGTATCTGCTGTGGAATTCAAAGCTCACTGCAGGTTTCTGCCCTGGAATCAAACACATTCAATGAGCTTATTTCCAACTCCTAGTTTGCAATAACCATCCAGAAATAAACCACAACATAAACAATGCAGTATTGTCTCTCAAGTCTGCAAACTGCTTGGAAAAAACCAGCTGACTGTTTTTTAAGAGACTTGTGACTCTTCCTGCCCAATTTAACAATATGACCTTGACAGCATGACTTCTGGAGCAAAAATAAAGTACTTCTTCAGGTTTTCCACAGCTTTGCCTAAATGGGAGAAGGGAGACACCTGCAAAACTCCACCTCTACTAGACTGTCCCCCCTTCATGGCATTTCAACACATTGTGTATGTAAATCAGACCAGTTCAAAAATATGCAAGTTCTAATGCAGCAACCCTCTGGGCTCAAATACACGAAGAAAGCCCCATGCTTCAGCTAAGCAATACTAACATCCTATACAGATGTGACAACACTAGCTCGGAGAGGTCAGCTCCTCCTTGAGAAGCCTAAATAATGCCCACTGGCACTAGGGTTGAGTGCTCTTTCAGCTGCAGGAAAGGGCACTCTCTGCTCCCTGGCAGAGATAGATTATTGTAAGCAATGTTGTGTCAGTAGTGCTGTCTGCTGAAAGTGTCAAAAAACTTCTTGTAACTTCACTGCAGTTCTACTCTGCAAAAACAAGAGCATTGTTTCCAGCACCCCAGCAGATTTTCTTCCACACAGCAGTGAAGTGCAGGAGGATGTAGCAGTAATGCCAATACATGGCTGCACATCACAGATCTTCTGAACAGGAGATTCCTGTGCCACCATCAAGCCCAAAGACAGAAATAATTGTCAGGATCAGAATCCTCCATGGAAATGCTTGCCTGCGAGCGCTCCATGCAAAATACAAAGCAACTTTCCTGAAGCCCTTTTATCCAGGACTGCATGGACACAAATCCAGCAATCAGTTCAGAAGTTTGTGGATGTTCAGATCACCTGTACTGCACTGAATTGGAACTATTTCATGTTTGGTGACTATACTGAATTACTACTGACAGTGGCAAATCCACAACCCTTTCTCCTGTTTCTTTAAGTCCAAAGATAAAAGCTTTCTGCTTTTTCATCATCACATTATTTAAATTTTTTTTTCTTTAGTCAAGTTTCTTTCAGATCTGTGTTTTAGAACCAAAAGAGCGCTGTGCATTGCCAAATGTAACACAGCATTAATTCTCCTTCAATACCAAAACAATGCTCCTGAAACACAGACAACATGCAGCTACTGCTTTTAAATCATGCACAGCAATAAATCCTTCCAACAGCCTGGATGAGGAAACCAACTTCCAAGAAGCCTCGGGATGGAAATATTTGAGAAGTCTTCCAGGGAACACTACAGAGCTCTTAAGAAGTATGTACATTTGAATATATCCGGAAACGCAAACCAATAATTTTCATCTTTCAACTCTTTAGTTCTTATTTCATTTCACCTCCTCTACATGTGGCAATAA